ATATTGAAGAGATAATTTTATGACAAAAATCCTAACACCAAAATATTGATGCCAATAATTTTTGAATTACAAATATCATTTAAAGCAATCTTCTTATCTTCATATATACGAGTATAATCTTTATAACGATATCAACAAGTCAACGATAGTTAGCTTTCACATTTAGCATTTCAAATAGATCTGCCAAATAGTAAATTTTTAACTGTTTAAAAGTGAATAAGTTTGTATTTTTTGCTACAATGGAAAAGTTAATCCCGTGTAAATCTTTAAAAAAACTACAAATCTTAAGTCATCAATTACACCTCTTAATTATATTATAATACAACAATGTATTCAGTTTTCTTAACTTAAGTTATGGTTTTTCCACTCAAATTTAATCTCAGTTCAATTTATACTTTCCATCTATTTTTAGTTCTAAGAGAAAGAGAGAGAAAGAGTTCAAAAATTACAAATAGTCATTAATGTCGAAGTATAACAGTAAATATGAGCATTGTGATGACGTTTAGTTACAATGGCAGCATTTAGCAGAAAAAGCGGCTTTGCAACTGTTGTAAAATTCTTTAATATGATAGGTTTATACATTTAGAATATTTAGATCCATAAAGAACTAAGGGCAAAAATCAAGCATGTTGACGAATCTCATAACAGTTGCAAAGCTGCTGTCTCTGCTGAACGCAGCCAATAACATTTACAAAAAAATTTTGTTATTAGTAATGTTATATATTTATTTATAAAAAGTTTTTACATATTTTTCTATTTCTTATGTTATTAATTTTCTTAACATTCTGTCCAATGTTGCGAAAAGAGAAATTTCTTTAACTAATTTTTTGAGATGTCTTTTGAAAATATTTTCTCGTTTGAGATAAATATTAACTTATCACATTATTTTCTTGCATAATGGATTTTCCAATGAAGTAATGCATACGTAATCACATGTAAACTGAGTATCCAAGAGCACAGTATTATCAGAATTACGTGAAATGGCACTGATGGCATATCCATCTCAGCGAGAATCTTATTTGGTGAACGCCAGTGACAATAGATTTCCGAACATGACAGATTTGGACGGTCAAAATAGATTGCCTGCATTAATCCTTCAAATCCATATCTACAATAAAATTTTATGTTAAAAAAATGTAACAAATAAAAAATATATTAAAAACATGTTACATAGAAACAGAAACAATAATTTTTGACAAATATCTGTTATATAAAATAAGAAACGATTTATACGGAAAAATATTATTCGCAAATATTAAATTTAAATGCTAAAAGTTTTGAATTTATAATTACTATGATATAAAATTGTCTGTACCTGAAAAAGCATAAATAGCATATAGGCTGCAGATACGTTGGTATTTCTTCTATTTTTACTAAAAATCCAGCGAATAGCAGTAATGGCATACTGATTGCCGGAACTAGATATATACCAAACTGGAAAAAATTATATTTAATTTTATCATTATCTTTTCATATTAAATAAAAATGGAATTTAAATTTGTACGGTATAATTTGATTAATTAATTTAAAAAATTTATTATTATAAGTAAATAGTTTAATAATTTATTATGTAAATTATGTATCATGTAATACTTCAATGTCAACAGCTGTGCCTATAAGTATTCCAACCGATTGTGCAAAAAGCGTAATTAATAAGCAAATGCCCCACGCCTGTAGAATTCTATCATACTCCATTAGCTGTCCGGTCATGTAGTATGATATAAACAGAAAGGATGAAGCGCAAAGTATCTAGAAATTAAACGAAATTATAATTGACTTAAAAGCAATGACAACATATTTAATTGCAATTTGATATTTATCCAGAATTTTATCTCTGAAAGGAATAATTAGTAACAAAGTTATATAACGCTAAATAAAATCATACTTG